CCCCAAAACCCCAAAACCCCAAAACCCCATTTTTGCTAAAATTTGTGGGCCTCTCACTAAAATGTATATTTAAATAAATTCATTATTAGAGTTTAAATAGTTATTAATCAATCAATAAAGCAAATGGAAAGTTCAAAGATTCAAGCTAATTTTTTACTGGCTGGAGAAAAAGGTTCTGAGGGCTAGAAGATTCTCACAGTTTAAGTGAATAGAAATATACTTGCCAAGATAGATGAGTTCTACTCAATTTTCAATTCAGCATTCTTGACCAAAGTGACAAACTCAGCTGAAACTAACCAACTTTGGTTTGATTTCAGAGATGTTTATGCTGATCACAAAGATATCGAAAATGATGTTGAAATTTTGTTGGCCTTCATCAATAAGTACGAAGTGCAGGTTGATAGGCAAGCCAAGGTTTTCACTGGGGTAGAAAGTTTCAATAGATTCAAGAAACTTGCAGAACTTTTGACTATGCATAAGAGCTTAAACTTTGTAGAGATAAAAAAAGAAGTTTTCAAGCAACATCCAGTTCTATTGCTCTGTGATATTGGCGGTTCTATTTTGTATAGATGCAGTGAAAGATTAGCTGATCTTGATAGAAAAGTTGACTTCTAAATCAAGAAGCATATACATTACTATAGACCTCACAAAGATGAGTTTTTAGCAGCTTTGATAACTCATCCAAGAGTAAAGTTTGGAATTTACTCCTCAATTATGAGAAAGAACATCATGCCTCTTATGATGAAGATTTTTGAGTCAAGAGAGATCAAGAATTTAAGAAACGGCATTTATGAAATATTTGATCAGGAGTACAACATGCCAGACCTTGGAGAGGGCAAAGAACATTGGGCTACTAAGAGGTCTCTTGAAAAGGTCTTCTAGAATGAGAAAATCGAAGAGAGAGGCTTTAACTTTAAAAATACTCTCATGATAGACTCCGAATATGATAAAGTCAGGGATTATCCTTTCAATTCTATTGTTATAGAACCATACTCAGAAGAAGCTTTAAGAAACCCAGCTGATGATCAAAGCAAGAATATTTTGATAGAAGTTAAAGACTTTGTCTATAATCTATTGGAAAATACTGACGATGTCCCAGAGTACCTTAAAGTTCATACTAAATACGGTCATGAAAATTACTTAATAGAGAAGAAGAGCAAGCTTTAAAGTAAAGTTGTAGACACAGAAGAAAATAAAGGTTTGGATAAAGAGTTGAAATAGCTCCAAGAGATTCAAGAGCTTATCAAACAAACAGAAGATAAACTAAATCTTTAAGAATGAGATTGAATTGATATAAAATGTTGTGAATGATCATGAAGATTTGACTTGAGTGTTGTTAATTTTGGTATTTATTGAATAAAGTATGATACCTACATATTTTTTGTTGCTCCAATTGTGAAATTTGTATTCTTGACACAGGGGTTTTGGGGTTTTGGGGTTTTGGGG